CTCACCCCGCTCCCCAGGTATCTTAAGCCATAGGCTTTCCTCGAATTTCGTTTTTCCACTACTACTTCCATCGTCAAACAAGTGTTCCTTGACCAGGAATCCGACTCCCCCCTCCCCCCTTTTCTTCGGGTCTAAGCCCTTTCTTGCCTTCCCTACCCACCGGTATTTCCCTAGTTTGCTTACCACGTCACCATCCTTCAATTCCCACGTCTCTTGGATCCCCACTACATCTAGATCGCCTTGTTCTACTTGGTCCACTATTTCCAACCGCTTGCGCTCACTCCTTGCGAACCCGCACACGTTCCACGACCCGACTCTCAGCTTGCGCTTTTCCCTATTGGAGATTTTGCGCACTCTATCGTTCGCCTTCCGCTTCGTCTCGGACTTCTTCTGACTTGCCTGCTCGCCTCCCCCGCTCGGTCCTTTCTTCGCCTCCGTCGCCTTCGCCTCTTGTCTCCTTACCTGCTCTGTTTTTACATGTTCGCGATGCAAACCCTCCATCCAAACTTCCTTACGTAGTTCGACAGCTTCTCGATATCAACCCCCAAGCACTCTTGGCTGTCTCCCTTGGTCAATTTCACCCGCAAGTGTTCATTTTCTCTGCCTACTTGTCCCCCTGCTAGGCAGTGCAGTCCCTCCCTGTCACAACAGTTCTTGAACTCTATCCTCGTCATGTCCCTTGGAATCCCAAACAGCAGCAGCTCCAACTTGTCTCCCTTCCACAGTTTCTGCTTCCATCCTCCGGGCTTCTTCACCATCCTCATGATCTCTACGGCAAGTGAACCATGGCCACTTGTTTTCGTGTTTTTTCAGGAAGGTATGCGGAATAGTCGGCCTTCCCAATCCGAGTGTCCGGAGGGGGTTGCGGTTCCTTTCAGTTCTTTTGCCGGCTCACCGACGCTAAATAGCGCCTCTAACACAGGCTCGTAGTCTAGATCCAAGTTCACACCTCCTGACACAAGTACCCCAGTCTTGTGCCGGGCGCTCTGCTTAGTTAACACCCAGACGTCCCCCGACCACCCAATTTATCATCTCCGAAGTCCCGCGGTACAGGCTACTTTCCTCCTGGGAGGCCATTTTCACCACAATAGGTTCAGGGATGACTTGCATAGCCTAAGATCCTACTCACACGCCGGGATGGGGCGTACACCAACGTCCAGCTTCTCATGTACGCTCCACCATGGGTTGCTACCCCACTTACGCTCCCGAGTAGACCTATCTGCCGAAAGTTTGGCCAACAATTCCTTACTGCTTTATACTCGCCTCTCTCCAATCGAAAACAATGCATTGTGCGTGCCGCACATCTAGCTCCGCAGTTTTTGCGTGGTTGGTCCGGTCGCTCAGCTTGCTCGACGTGAGTAATAAGCTTTGTTCTGATGGCCCTATGTTTTATTGATCCACTTCAAGCAACGAACACCCCCCCCCCCTCCACTACATTCTGACTGGGAGAGAATATTGGACATTTGCCCCCAACACCACAAAGAAGCCAGCTGCAAGAAGACTGTTGCTCGATTGCTCCGTCAACAGTTCAGAAAATCCACACCAGCAGACAACCCATCTTCCTACCAAAGTCGGAGGAAAGACCAACCCTCCACTCTGTAGGGCTTCCGAGTTGCGCTCATCACGGTAGACTTAGCGCCCGCGTTTAACAATCGTCAGTTTGGGGTCGAGCCTCAATTTCTTATTTCATCACCACTGTCGAGCAAATAGGCAGTTCACAATAATAGATGGAGTTGAGTGTATGATCCACCTCTGAGGTGTGTTTCTTAGTCGATATTTCCCATTTGTAGCCAAAATCTTAGCCCTTGCTTCTTGCAGGTTCGTTCCGTAATCGCCCCATAGGGCGCTCCGATGGCTCAGCCAAACTGGCGGTAAGGATAGCCACACCACAACGTCGAATTCTCTTCTCTTTCGGCTATATCACCGTGTCCATAGCGGAGCCATCCGTTTCTGGCCTTCACCAACGACCCTTGACCCACTGACATTCAGCATGCAGGTTCAGGTCACTACAATAACCTTTTCAGTGTTGCCTGATGAGGATATGGCGTGTGAGTCACACGAAAACATTTTGTTGGGATAGTCGTCACAACGGGTGCGGATGGGCCCTCACTGAGAACTAAGCCTGAAATGATTTCACACTCCCTAAAACACCTTGCTTGACTGACTGCGCTGCAGGTATTGCCCGTGAAAAACATCAGATAAACGGCACAGTATCGGCTTTGACAAAGTTCTTCTCCCATGTTTCACCTCACCTGTCCACGCCAGATGTAGACAAGAACTTCGCCGAGATGCCGAAGAAGCCTAATGCATGCACGCATGCGACTCTGAATTCTGTTGAAAGTGGAATATAGCAACAACAGCCGTTTCACCGCCATTGATACACATACGCCGAGCGGAGGTTCAGGAGGCACGGGAGGCTTCACGCCGCTAGGTGTGGAGATAGTTCCTGAAAGGTAAACTACGCGGGGTGCAGCAAGCACGTTCGGGACGTTACTTTGGGGCACTGGGTAGTCGGCCGTGTTAGGCCGAGAGAGCGAGGTTGAGAGAGAGTTAGAGAGGAGTGGGAGAAGGAAACTTGATTGGAGAGAGACTGTGGTGGTGGTCGAGAGAGAGAGGGAAGAAGTGCGCAGCACGCACGCAAGCCTCATCATCGCACCGACCACGCCCAAAGGGTCCCCGTGACTGCGCCGGTGGTACCCTTCAACACACGAAATTCCCAACACGTATCCCCCTGGGATCCTCACGACCAGATACTGCTGCGAGTATATCTAACATCCCCCCTGCTCGCAACAGTTTCTCACTGAAAACTTCGCTAACACCCGATATCTCAACCAAAAGACGTCTTTCCCAAAATATATACCATGAGCCTTGACCAGAATAATATAAGGGAGAAAAACAATTCAAAGAAATATGAATGCTGCATCGCGCTTAACAAATACTTGGCGCGGGAAATGAAACAAAACGGGAAACAAAACAAGACCATAACACAACCCATCAGAAAAACAATAAAATGTTCATGCCAAATTCATCACAAAATCACGGTGAAACTCGAAAGCATCCTTCGACAAACTCTTCGTAAGAAAGTCTGCACGCTGGTACGGCGACGGCACGTGGATGACCGAAATTTCCTTCCTCTCTACCAGTTCCCTGAGAAAATGGTGCCTTACATGTATGTGCCTCGAGTTCGAGTTTGAGATGGGGTTCTGCGCTAGTTGAATCGCCCCCTCGTTGTCCTCGAAGATGGGGATGCACGGCATGCCGACCTGCGGCAACATGAAACGCCAAATCTGCCTCAAAAACAAAATCTCCTTCACTAGGTCACCTAGCGCGACGTACTCTGCTTCGGTGGACGAAAGCGTGACACATTTCTGCGTTCTGGNTACATCTATGTGCTTCGAGTTCGAGTTTGAGATGGGGTTCTGCGCTAGTTGAATCGCCCCCTGGTTGTCCTCGAAGATGGGGATGCACGGCATGCCGACCTGCGGCAACATGAAACGCCAAATCTGCCTCAAAAACAAAATCTCCTTCACTAGGTCACCTAGCGCGACGTACTCTGCTTCGGTGGACGAAAGCGTGACACATTTCTGCGTTCTGGAAAGCCAAGACACAGCGCCTCCTCCACACGTCACGATCCCCCCTGGTACCGACCTACGGTCTGCTGCCTTGCTTGCAAAGTCCGCATCAGCGCACCCCTGCAAGCTGAATCCCTCTACCGTACCTCTCTAAAACGAAATACCAAAGTCACTCGTCCTCCTCGCATAGCCTAAAATGTCCATCGCTCCTTTTCAGTGTACCAGCTTCGGAGATGCGCAATACCTAGCTACTGCCCTTACTGCATTCGCAATGTCTGGCCTAGTCTGAGTCGCCAGCCACATCAACGATCCTACCAGCTCACGAAACGGAAAGTCTGTCGCCACCTCATCCGCATCAAAATCAGAAAGCTTCACCCCCGAAGACATCGGAACGCTCTTACCTCCAACTACTCCATATTCTGCTGCTAGCTCATCCGTCAAAGTCTACTGAGAAATCGTCAACCTACCGGTCCCCTTGTTCCTCTCGTAAAAGCACCCAGAATACCATCTCAACTCTCCCAGGTTCTTCACTGGCACGGACTTGTTAAGGTCGGCGCCAAACTTGTCACATCTCTCCCTCTCTCCCACAGCAAGAATGTCATCTACCTGTACTACCAAAATCAAAACAACACATCCATCCTCAATCAAACGAAACACACAAGCATCGGCCATGCACTGCTCAAATCCTAACGCCACCAAACACCTCTTCAGCATTGCATGCCACTGCCTAGATGCCTGTCTCAAGCCATACAGACTCTTGCCTAGTGTTACAATCATTCCAGATAGAACTCCACATCCCCGCGGCAAACGCATGTACACGTCTTCCTCCAACTCCGAACGCACAAAAGCTTGCTCAATATCGAAATGACACAAGTCGAGGTTCAACTCGCACGCCAAAGCAGCCAACATCCTAACACACGAAACAGAAACGGTAGGCACGTACAACTCTCCAAAGTCAGTGTACTCTCTCTGCATATCACCTCTCGCTACAAGCCTCGACTTAACCTTAGTGGGCCATCCAAACTCATCTGCCTTTTAATCGAATACCCACTTTGCGTTAATTANTCTCGACTTAACCTTAGTGGGCCATCCAAACTCATCTGCCTTCCAATCGAATACCCACTTAGCGTTAATTGCGTTCTCCACTAGTTGCTACTTCGCCGGAGTAAAAGTCCCCGCTTCCAACAAGCCATAAAACTCCCTTTGCATAGAGTCGCTCCAAAGGTGCCGGTGCTCCGACGCCATGGCCTCTTTGTAGCTCTTGGGGACACGAAGGTCGCTGGCCTGGCAATGCGGAAGGTCAGGGCGTTGCTCCGGCGGGCGCTGGTCTCGCAGCGTGGCGTCGATGTCTTCCCGGTTGGCGAGGAGCGTGGCAAATGCGAGTGGAAAGCCCGCTCCTCCATCCCCCGGGTCCACCGCTGCGAGTGCTCCCGCCTGCCCTCCGGTCCCCGCTCCCCCCGGCTCTCCGGCCTCCGCCCCTCCCAGCTCCCTGCGTTCCTCGTCCACCGCGCTCCGAGCCTCCAGCATCTACACCAGAGTATTCTTGTCTAGCATCGAGATGAGTTCTGTGCTGTGCCTTGTGCCCGATCTAGTACGGCTTGGCAGCCGCGGGTCTGTCACACCCTCGGCCTTTGTACCCGGGCGAAAGCTGCCGCATGGCGTGAGCCGTAAGCGGGGGCATCGCGGGGTCCGGCGGCGGCGGCGGCGGCTGGTCTGGATCTGGGGTCGCCGACGGTGACAGCGAAGAAGAAGAGGACAGCTGGCCAGGAGCGGGGGTCGCCGACGGTGACGGCGAAGTGGCAGAGGGCGGTTGTGAAGGCGTGGGAGCGGGCGGCGGCGTGGTCGCTGGCGACGGCGTTGCGGCAGGAAGCGAAGCGGCAGCGGCAGCGGGAGCAGGCGACGGCGTGGNCGGCGGCGGCTGGTCTGGATCTGGGGTCGCCGACGGTGACAGCGAAGAAGAAGAGGACAGCTGGCCAGGAGCGGGGGTCGCCGACGGTGACGGCGAAGTGGCAGAGGGCGGTTGTGAAGGCGTGGGAGCGGGCGGCGGCGTGGTCGCTGGCGACGGCGTTGCGGCAGGAAGCGAAGCGGCAGCGGCAGCGGGAGCAGGCGACGGCGTGGGCGCTGGCAGCGGCGGTGCTGCGGTCGAAGGCGTCGGTGCTGGGCCAAAGTTGATCGAGACGACCGGCGGCGTGAACGGGGGGGGTGTCGGCGCAGCGGTGATACCAGTGGAACCCTCCTCGCCGGCTGGCGCCGACGTCACCCATGACACGTTGTTGGTGTAGACGACGCGGCCGGTGGACGCCTTGAGGACCTTGACGGTGCCGCTCGGGTGGTTGTCGCCGCCGTTCAGGTAGTAGCAGAGGATGGCCTGGTCGTCGAGCTTGGTGCGACGATCCTCACGTATGAAGCCGGGCTGGAAGAACGGCAGCACGAGGAAAGGCCCCTGCTCGCCGTTGAACATCTCGTGCGGCGAGCGCCGCCCGGGGTTGGCCTTGGTCGCCGACT